GGATTTGGGAATCAGTTTGGTTGTACCTATGGGCTTGAGTACATGAAGCTCTTTATCAATGGGAAGTGGGATGCTAGTAAGCCATAATACACAGTGGGGTACTTAACAAGCATTACCTTTGGCCAATGGTTGTGAAGAGCCAACAGGAAATAAGTACCCTGGGAGCCTAAGTGGCTGCTATACACCACATGTCATGTCACAGCAGCAAAAGAGAAGAAAGCACACTGAAACTGGGAAGCCAAGCCCTTCCTCCTGCACCATCTCTCCATAACCCTCTCCTGACAAAACCAAACACTGCATCAGCCAGCAAAGGATACATACTAATAAAGTCCTGTTCTAGCATTACACATTCATATGCTGTGAGCAGATTTAGAGTTGGGAAGCAACAAAGTGCTAAGTGGTACACCTTGTAGAAGGAAGAATGGAGACAAAGAGAGGTGGTGTAGAAGCTGCCATGGGCGGTGCTCCTGCCTGGGGCTAACATGGTGCGAAAGCCTCCCCATGGATCATTCCTGATTAATCTCGCAAGAATGCTATGAGGTCATTTTTCCCGGCTTCCCACTTAAATTCTGACAATACAGAAAAAATATGAAAACTCTTATCAATATAAAAAACCAAGAGTGACAGCTGGAATCTGTGTGGATTCCCTCCTGATTTCAAAATGTATTGGAGTTGAATTGAGAAACAGCATTGGAAGCCAAAGCATGCATTTTTTCCCCCTGAAAAAAAGCAAATAAGGAATAGAGCCATATTAAAAGAACAAAGGGAAAGGGTCATTCTTTCTTCACTCTCTGGCTTCTCTTGAGACCAACAAACTGGGCACTGCTTTTCAGGGGTCATAGATCTGTTCTTTACCCATCATTCTTCATCAGACTTTCCTGACTTCAAGACATCAGGTCAGGAAGGATAAGGGGCTTGGTCCAGTGAGAGGGGAGAGAGTGGAAGGTAGGGGAGAACCACTGGCAAAGGCCATGGAATCTTAGAAGATAGATGTCCCGAAGGTAAAACAAAACAAAACAAAAATACTACAGGGTCCTAAGGATCCTAAAGGCTTGGGGACCATAAAATAAATTTTCAAAATAAATAGTGCCATGCAGCAATGTGCCCTGGGCTCACTGGCAGTGAAGATAGAGAAATGTTAAAAATAAAAGAAAGGCCATAAAAGAAATAAATATAAACAAACGGAAAGCAGGGATGGAAATTTAAATTCCAGGCAAAGTAGAATAGAAAGCCAAAGGCATTTAATGGGGCAAAAGGGTTGGCACAAGGTAGGATCTTAATAAAGATAAAAGAGTCACAAGCAGTTATGCACATAATTCTGTAACATCAAATTATAAAAATCCAGAGCTGCTTGAAATACAAGGAAAAGTTAAGGAAGCAGAGTTATTTGGAAGATTATACTGCAACCTTTTATAGAGAAGGTAGATGGAAAAATCAATAAAGAGAGAAAGTGCAAATGCTGCAAACAGAGGAGTGGTCAGAAGTTTCAACCACGGTAATCAGTCATGCTCTGGAAAAGGAGATCATGGTCATCTTCAGAAGATTCAACACTGGGAGTCTGATGAATCTACCACCATCTGGTAGGGGCAGAGAAGTTACAATCAATGCTTCCATTATGTTATGGTCATGTAACTGGAAGAACAAAATTCTGTTGTAGGAGAAAGCACACACGCATCAGCAATTCTTGCCTATTAGTAAATTCTTCTAGACTTGATCGTGTGAATTTCCAAAGTAGATAACAAGAGTCCTGATTAAATAGGAGTCCAGATTTTCTGGAAGTGAATTCACTCACTTAGGCAAAGTAAACTATTAGTACCTGGATTATATCTGGAGCACACTCCAATTTCCACTGCATTAACCACAGAAGTGCTTCCCACTTCACAAAGCCACCAATACAATCCTGGGATGGTTAGCAGAGGTGGGGAGGGGGGGCTCTGCCTGATTCTCCAACTCATGGGATGCTGTGGCAGGTTATGCAGGACCTTCCCCTAAAGTGACTCGAGCTAGAAACAGCCAGGGAGTAGGAGTGAATTGAGCTCTTAAAAAGCACTAGGGGCCAAAACCAAGAATACTGAGCTTGGTTTTCAAGATGAATGGCTCATTATCAGTAGACGAAGCCCAAAGGGTCATAAGTTGGGAAGCCATCACAGCAAAACAAGAAACAAGATGAAGGGAAAGATAAAAGCTAAAGGGTCCAAGGTAAGAATCATGAACATCAGTGGAGCACCAGACAAGTTTATTGGCCAGTCAGACTGGTTTAAAGACACAGAGTTATAGGAGGGAGAGGCCACTGGTCATTAATGGTTAAATATGAAATGGACAACACATCCTCTACCGCCAGGCATCTGTCAGCTCTCCCTTGCCCATTTTAGTATTAATGGAATTCAGGTCATAAGGGGTAAGAACGAGGTAGCCAGGAATCCCTCTCACTATGCCCAGAATTTGAGGGTTTCATATTATTATCTATCCACATCTATAATTGGGATTTATATAAAGAAACAAAAATACTTCTATTCTTTGAGTGTATGTAGAGATTTGGATTTTAAATCTGTTCACAAAGAAAATATATGAAATCTTTCAGGTTCCCTGTGTACCAAAATTTACTATATTGCACTGATTTGCTGGCTACAAGGAAAAGCCAATTTGCATGGCTCCTGTCAGTCACATGTGGTTTGGAAATGCTTGTGCATTCCAGATACACTCTGTGTAAACTGGAGAATCATATCCTATTTCTACTGGTTTGCATGCATGCATATAAAACTTGTTTTTCCCACAGTGCCAAATGAAAATAAGTGAGCTAGCAGCACTGATCACAATTAATCAACTTCTTTGTCAGAACTTTACAGCCATGATAGTAAGGGGAATTCTTGTCCCTCAGGTCTAGAGAGGCTATGACTTCTACTTCTTTTGGTTTGCTTGTTTAGTTCTGTTCCACACAGCATTTAGAGATAAAATCTGTTACTATCATTCAAAACAGTTTCTGATACCTACTATGTGCTAAGTACCAAAAGCCACTGCATGAAACTTCCACTAGAGAGAGCTTGGGGCTGAGTGGAAAAGAACAAGTAAATAGTCATCACCCAATGTGAGAGCTCTTTTGGTAGAGAGTGGGTTGTGTACTATGCCCTATGGAAATAGGCAAGGAGTTTGCCAAGATTTCACAGAAGAAGGTGAATCCTGATGATGCAGTATGAGTTTAAGTGAAGAAGGGCTGGAAGGCATTCAAGAAAGTAGGAACATAATGTGCAAAGACACGAAGTTCCTCAAGAACACATGTTTCAGGGACCTGAAAGAAATTCTGTATGGCTTGAGGCCAGAGGTAGGGCCAGTAGAGAAAAACAATTTTAAAACACATAGGAGAGAGGCAAGAATTCCGGTAAACAATGTTATTTTAATAGTCTGCATTCTTGTGTTAACATGTGAAGACGTTTGCTCAGTGAAAATACTTAAGAGTTTCAGATGAACTAATGTTACAACGTCCATCAGCCAGGCTCTATCCCTTATTGCTTCTCTCTTTCTAGCATTTACAATGATACCTGGCACATAGTTAGTACTCAGTTAACATAAACCGCCATTACTAGAGGTGGGAGATGGCCTCTAAGATGGTCCCTAGTGATTCATGCCCTGATGCAGAGACTTCCCCTTGGGTACAGGCTGGACTTATTGACTCACATCTAATAAAAAGAATATGCCAGAAGCAATGGATTATCACTTCCACCATTATGTTATAAAAAAGACTGTGGCTTCCCTTTTGGGTGGCCTCCTATATACCCATCCTCTGTGGCCTCCTTCTATCTCAGATCATTAGCTGTTATGTCATAGGCTACTCAGGCAACTTATGGAGAAGCCCACGTGGTAAGGAACTGAGCCACACTTATACGAGCATGCCTACTGCTAGGAGCTATGTGACTGTGCTTGGATGCAGATCTTCTGAGACCTGCCAATCACCACACGAGTGACCTTGGAAGTGAAATATCCAGCTCCACTTGAGCTTTAGGTTACTGTGTCTTTGGCCAACAGCTTGATGGCAAACTCGTAAGAGACTCTAAGCCAGAGGCACTCAACTCCGTTGCATCCAAACTCCTATCCCTAGAAGCTGACAGACCACTAAGTTTTACTATAATTTGCTAAATAGCAAAAGATAACTGATAAGCAATACACTAATGTCTACTCCTATTCCCTAATCAAAGCTGGGTTTCTGGTACACCTAGGTTGGGCATGGCAGTATCAGAGCTCCTATCTGGTGATGGAGCTCTGCCTGGAACTGCAGCTTTTGTGATGAGGATCCCAGTCACTTGACTCCTTGAGGGATTGAGCTCTATTACCTACAGTCCCACTCAATTGATTAGACCACTCATAGAATTAATCCAGCCCAACTGCAACACAGATTATTGCTTGGCATGCTCTCTCCCACCTTCAGGGCACCCTTGGGCACATCAACACTATAAAGTACAGTCCCTCTACTAGCTGAGGCAGAGAGTTCAGGAAACCTCTGTGTAGATGATGACAATCAGATGTCCCCAGAAAGACCCATGTAGATAACATATTCCTGATTTCCATATGCAGCTCTAATTGATTATATGATATGCCTTAAAAACTAATTGTTCAACTTGCTGCATACACTGTCCAGGTGGGAACAAGTGGAGAAACATGCATTGCTCAGAGAACACAGAGTTTTTGGCAGAGAATTTTTGGCAGTTTATATAACAATGCTGATTTGAATGCAGTGGATTTTTATGTAAAAAAGATTTTAAGACCTTGTAAAGATGTTAAATATTTACATAAGAAATTATGCTCAGCTAAGAAAAGAAGAGCAAAATGTAAAAACCAAGTGTGTCTTCTATAAATTGTTCTTTACTTGTTTCTTAGGTCTTTTTAGTAGTTTTTAGACCCACTTCTCAGTTCGTGATTAAACACCCACTGAAAACAAAATGGCACATATGGAGATGATAGTAGTATTTCACAGCCACAAGAAAAAAAAAAGAAAGGGGACTCTGTACCTCTGTCCCTGATGATTTTGTCCCTCATGCTCTAGGATGCAGTCATTGAGAGTTGAAGAACTTATGTGCGAGGGTGTCCTTAGAGCCACCGCTGAGATGCCCACCAATGGGGATGAGAAATTCAGCAGCAGTGAGGAGGTACGGTGGGAGAGGACATTCAGGTGATGGCTCACATTGATAACCAGTGGGTTTTGCTGGCATGACAGTTCATAGGTTCCTGAAATCAGATGAATAATATTGTATCCACTCACATAGCACTGTGTTTCCACATCTAGCATTCATTTTCTCTTCTCAATAGCTGTGTACTCTAGGCAAGGTCCCCAGCAATATAAGAGACAGAAATCTAGAGCTGACTCTGGGGTCTGATGGATTGTCCTCTAGTGGCCCTAAAGGGATCATTGTCAGACTCACCAAGAGAGTGGTTGTTCCCACTGACATCGGTCAGGTGAACAGTCACTGCTGGGTGTTGCTGTTCTCCAAGTACTGGGCCATCAGATGTCAAGAAAATGAAAATTGCCGTGGCCACTTCTGGTCTACTGAAACACACCTAGGCATAAGCACACATAGGTAGGAGCCATTATTTCCACTGGGCTCTCAAGGAATATGTCACATTACCTTTACATTTCCTGAGTTCACCGTTTATAAAGCAAGAGTGCCCTTCGCCTTTACCCATGAGAAAAACACGGAGTAGGCACAGAAAGATATCCACATTCACAGCAAAAATCAAAATTCCATGGAAAAAAGGTAACTTGTAGCTACCGAACATCCCATATTTTTCTGTGATTTTTCACTTCAACTGTTCCTTTCTCACTTGGGCCTGTCTTTCTTTAAATTTCTCAAAAAGATCACTGAAAGAGACCACTGCTGGAGACAGTAAATCACCACATAACCAGCCAATACCACCTCATCTCCAAATTCGAAGAAGTGGACAAGAGTCACCAAGCTACCATATTGCTGTGAACTGGCCTAGTTCCAAATATAGTTCCTTCTTCTCCATCCTATCTCCCACCTAAACTTTTTAAGATTTTATTTTATTTTATTTTTTCTTAAATAGTTTATTGTCCAGTTGGTTTCCATATAACACCCAGTGCTCATCCCAACAAGTGCCCTCCTCCATGCCCATCACCCCCCTTCCCCTCTCCCCCACCCCTATCAGCCTTCAGTTTGTTCTCAGCATTCAAGAGTCTCTCATGGTTTGCCTCCCTCCCTCTCTCCCTGGACAGTCAAAGAGCCTTCTTTAATACAGCAGTATTCGCAGGTGCAGAGTGCATAACAAGCTTTTAAAACTAACAAGAGACAGAAAGCTAGCCAAAATGATGAAATGGAAGAACTCTCCTCTAAAGAAATTCCAGGAAGAAATGACAGCTAAAGAACTGCTCAAAACAGATATAAGCAACATAACTGAACAAGAATTCAGAACAATAGTCATAAAATTAATTGCTGGGCTTGAAAAAGGCATGGAAGACAACAGAGAAGCTATTTCTACAAAGACTATGGAGCTTAAAAATAGTTGTGATGAATTAAAAAATGCTACAAATGAGATGCATAATAAAATGGAGGCATCCAATGCATGGATTGAAGAGTCAGAGAGAAGAATAGGTGAATTAGAAGACACAATTATAGAAAAAGAGGAAGTTGAGAAAAAGAGAGATAAACTGATCCGGGAACATGAAAGGAGAGTTCGAGAGCTGAGTGATACAATCAAACAGAACAATATCCATATCATAGGAATTCCAGAAAGGGAAGAGAGAGGGAAAGGCACTGAAGGAGTCCTTGAACAAATTATAGCAGAGAACTTCCCCAATCTGGGGAAGGAAACAGACATTGAAATCCAAGAGGCACAGAGAACACCCGTCAGACATAACTTGAATCGATCTTCTGCGCGATATATAGTGAAACTGGCAAAATATAAGGACAAAGGGAGAATTCTGAAAGCAGCTAGGGATAAAAGGGCCCTAACATACAAAGGGAAACCTATCAGAGTGATTACAGACCTATCTACTGAAAGTTGGCAGGCCAGAAGAGAATGGCAGGAGATCTTCAATGTGATGAACAGAAAGAATATGCAACCAAGAATCCTCTATCCAGCAAGCCTGTCATTTAGAATAGAAGGAGAGATAAAAGTCTTTCCAAATAAACAAAAATTGAAAGAATTTGTCACCACTAAACCGGCCCTACAAGAAATCCTGAGGGGTACTCTATGAGGGAAATGTTGCAAGGAACGCAAGATACCAGAGACACCACCACAAGCATGAATCCTACAAAGAACACAATGACTCTAAATTCATATTTTTCTATTATTACACTGAATGTAAATGGACTTAATGCTCCTATCATTAGACTTAGGGTAGCAGAATGGATTAAAAATTAAAATCCATCTATTTGCTGTCTACAAGAAACTCATTTTAAACCTGAGGACACCTTCAGATTGAAAGTAGGGGGATGGAGAAATATCTATCATGCTACTGGAAGTCAAAAGAAAGCTGGAGTAGCTACACATATATCAGACAAATTGGACTTTAAAGTAAAGGCAGTAACAAGGGATGAAGAAGGGCATTATATAATAATTACAGGGTCTCTCCATCAGGAAGAGCTAACAATTATAAATGTCTATGCACTGAATACGGAGCACCCAAATACATAAAACAATCACAAGCAGAAACCATCTTATGGATAAGAATGTGCTAATATCAGGGGACTTTAATACTCCACTTATAGCAATGGAGAGATCAACTAGACGGAAAATCACTAAGGAAACAATGGACCCAAACGACACATTGGACCAGATGGATTTGACAGATATATTTAGAACTCTACATCCTAAGGCCATGGGATTCACTTTCTTCTCAAGCCCCCTAAACTTTTTATCTGAACCTGCCACTTAGTATGTGAACTATGACATTAGAGGCAACTGTGGAGTTTACTGTTTCTGAGGCTAGAAGCTGCCACACTGTTCATTCTAATGCATTTCAGCTGGTGCCCCAAGTACATATGCCCAAGCCTACCCATGCTGAAAAATAAGCCAACACCGAGGCCCAGGAAATTCAGTTAGTTATAAAGAATATTCCTAGATGGTTAGGCTCATTAACAATAAAACTGTCTTCCAAAGTAAGCTATAGAAGTTTCATCTGTGGAAATCCTTTAATAAAAAAAAAACAACAAAAAACACCTTAGATTTTGGGGGATGACCTGGAGACCTTATTTTCTACCCCGAAATTATTTAATGCAGCAATCTTAATTTTGTTTTACATCCTTTAGCTCAATATTACACTGAATTTCTATTGCTCGTAAATCCCTACCTTGCCTCGTATTCCATGATGGCTCCATTACTAGATTCTGGTGCTGCACCTTACAATGTTCTGTGTGCATTTCTGTAGCTTTTTATCTGGTTCCAAGGGCAGTGAAGTACCGGAACAACTGTCCTCAGGGTAAAAACAAGGTATATCTACTAGTGGGGACCCACCTCCTCTAGTAATGGGGAGGAGGAGAGTAAAACATGTTTTCCACTTTACCAAGAATTCTTCCTTGTGTGCAGGCTGATGTTTTCTGAGTCTCAGTGGTGTGTTTATAGAGTGTCCGTTTGCACTGCTGGCTTAATTAGGGTGATTTTATGATTTGCAGTGGTCAGTGCAACACAGCGCTCCCTTCTTCCTCTCCTCCTTTGAGGGAAAGGCCAGCCACACTCTCTTTTTAGTGTCTTCCCGCCCCCCCTTTTCATTTCCCTTCTTTGAAGTAATAAATATTCCTTTATAACTTAAGAAACATCCAGACCCATAGGTTAGGGCTTGCAATATGAGGTCCTTTGTCCCTGGCTGGATGAGGGCTAGACATGAAACATACCATAAGGTAACCAAGAGCCTAACTCGAAGCCCTCAGCCTCGGCAGCAAAGGACATCAAAGTCCCTTGGGAGCTCCCACAACCTCTTCCTTTTCCTACACCACAAAAGAGACCTGAGTACTGGAAGAAAGTTCTGGGTTGTTTCCTGAGCCAGGAACAGACGGAGTCCAAACAAGTTCGTGGTGGCTTTACCTCCATAGGCCTCAGACTGGAAGAGTGGGGTGGGCTCGGGAAGGAACAGGAGTGCTCAGTCTTCCCACCTCCTGTTGGGCCCCCAAAATAGACACCACCCACCTGAAACTAATTAGTAGGGGCAGGTCTCATGGTGCGGATTGCTCTGTCCTGAGGGCCCATGCCCAAAGCCTCCAACTCATTTTGCATCTCCTGGCAAGGTGCCCCCTTGCTCTAAGGGTCTTTCAACCAAATCACTTTGAACCTTAAAGGCTGCTCCTGGTCGCGGTGCGTCAGTGCTGTGATTTGTGGGAGGGGCTACGCGGGGATGCGGGGATTTCCAGGCCACTGCTGAAGCAGGAAACCACCAGTAAGACTTACTAAGGAGACGCAGGCACAGGAATGTTGGGAAACACAAAGCAAAAAGACACAAGGGTTTGATCAAAGGACAAGACGCTGGGTCTGAGGCATTTCCTCTCCCAGTGACACAGGAGAGGTAACCGAACTCTGTTCTCATTCCAATACCGAATATGCCCCACAACAGCCACCAGACGCGAAGAAAGTATGAAGTCTCATGCAACTCCTGGAGCCTCCAAAGCAGAGACTAGCTTGAATCCACACATTGTGCATACTCAACGTGAGCCAGGATAAAAAGAACCAAGCAAGTTCACCATTCTGGAGAGAGGGCTGCCAGGCAGAAACTGCAGTGTGGCTCGTAGCTCCATCCTCACTAGCTGGTTAAATCCAAGCAATCCGTCTCTCCTCCCTGAACCTCAAGCTCCTCTTTTGCACGTCTGAAACACGGACTTACTGCTTATCACAGGAGGCTGTAACGACGATTAAACCATGCCTCTCATCTAGTAAGAACTCAACGTTCATAACTTACTTCACAAAATAATCCTTATTTCCAAAGAGAAATATTTTTTTAATTTTGTTTATACTTCAGAAAGACGAGGGTAAAGAACAACATTTCAAAATTAAACATACACCTATGAACTCTGGTGCATGGAGAATTATGCTTTTCCAAAACCCACAGGCTGAAAGATTTCATATATGCTATTTTAAATTGGCGGGTGTAGACCTGTGAATTGGTATTCCAGGTTCTACTTCTATAGACACTGGTGATATCCAAGGCTTTTGGTATAGAGTATATCTCTGTAAATGGAATCCATGAAAAATACATCTTATATACATAACTCTTTCAACAGACTTTTCAGAAATTCAGTTCAATATGTGTCTATCAAAAACCTGCTTTTGCTATACATACATGTAGACAAAGAGACTTCTAAAACTGACAGTATAATTAGAATAGTGTTTTCCTTATTTCAACAAAGATGATTATTTTCATTGATGTTAATTATAATTAACATACAGTGTTACATTAGTTTCAAGCATACAGCACATGATTGAACAATGTGTGCTCACCAAAATAAATGCAGTCATTATCTGTCACCAAACAACATTTTCACAATCTTATGGACTGTATTTCCTATGCTGTACTTTTCATCGCTGTGACTTATTTGTTTAGTAACTGGAAG